AAGGAAGGAAGGAAGGAAGGAAGGAAGGAAGGAAGGAAGGAAGGAAGGAAGGAAGGAAGGAAGGAAGGAAGGAAATGGAAAAACATTCCATGCTCATGGATAGGAATAATCAATATCATGAAAATTGCCTTACTGCCCAAAGTAATTTATAGATTCAGTGCTATCCCCATCAAACTACCACTGACTTTCTTCACAGAATTAGAAAAAACTAAATTTCATATGGAACCAAAAAAGAGCCCAGATAGCCAAGACAACCTAAGCAAAAAGAACAAAGCTAGAGGCATCATGCTACCAATTTCAGAATTATAAATTTTATTGAAGTTTTCCCCTTGAGTGCATGTCTTTTAATATTATATGTGATAAAACTAGAAGTGCTACTGTATCCCAGAGTAACTTGGATGTCTCAAAAAGTACAGAATTTGTATGATTATGTTAGGAAGGGAACAAGGTGCTTTCTGCATTTTTTTAATGTAACATTACTTGAAAGAACAAATTACAGAACTATGGTTATTCAGACTTGGATGCTCAGCAGATATTTTCTCAAAAATAAATCAGATGAGCTTTTTACGTCGAAGAAAACAACTAAGAGTATTTGCTGCCAGTGACAGAAACTGAGCTTTCAAACAAAAATTAGAATTTTGGGAAAGTTATATACGCTACTATGTACATGATACCTTCCCAATACTTAATAATGAGTGTAATTTGTCAATATTGTATAATGTATCATTATTTGGAAGTTGTACACAACTCATTTTGTAAATAACCAGTTTATGATTTTACAAAATCACAGATGCTTAAAAGATTAAAGTGTAAGAAAGAATATGGAATTTTAATGTAAGAGAAGACAAAAAAAAACTATTAATGTTGTTTCACATTCCATGTTACAACTACCCATCAATAAATTACAAATAAACAAGTTTGAGTATGTTATCAAAAAAAGAACAGCCACAATCTCCGGAAAAAAACAAGCCTCTCATCTCTGTGAGGACAAAGTTTCTTTACGTACCAAAACAAAATCTTGCAATTGATTGCAGAGACATACTTGTCTTCTCTTGTCAGGAATTAAAGATAATTTGCAAATATGTAAAACACTGCCACTTTTTAAAATCTTTTTTTAAATATTGGTAATATTTTATTAAAATATGTTAACATGTAATGAACTTTAAGATTTCTAGTTTTTATTTATTTTCTGGGTTTTTTTTATTTATTTTTTATTTTTTTATTTTGAGACAATCATAGATTCACATGCAGTTGCAAGAAATAATACAGACAGAACCTATATACCCTTTACTCAGTTTCCTCCAATGGCAACATCTTGTATAAGTTTAACACAGTATCACAACCAGGAAACTGACATAAATACAATCCACTAATGTTATTCAAATTTCACTAGCTTTATATCCACTCAATTGCGTTTGGGTATGTATGAAACTCCACGCAGTTTTTTAAAATTTTACTTTTAAGTTCTGGGATACATGTGCGGAACATGCAGGTTTGTTATATTGGTATGTATGTGCCATGGTGGTTTGCTGCACCTATCAACTTGTCATCTAGGTTTTAAGCCCCGCATGCATTAGGTTTTTGTCCTAATGCTCTCCCACCCCTTTCTCCCATGCCCCAAGATTTCTGTTTTAATTGCTATATGAGACTCCTAAATCTGTGATATACAATGATAATAGTATAGTAGCTACACCAAAACCTAATATTTAATGAGCACCTACTGTCCAAAGGCCAAATGTTTAATTCACATTGCCTATAATCACCACTTACTGGCAAAGTATTGGTCCATTATAGAAGTGAGGAAATGGAAGTTACAAGAAGCTCAACGGTTTGCAAAGTCTTATAGCTAATAAAAAAAAAAGAGTTTTCACTACGTTTAATTACCCTGTAAAGTTTCGATTTTAATACCTAATATGTCAAAATGTTTTTTTTTTTTCAGAGATTACTGCAATGACCTGAAAATATCGGATAATAACACTGAATTTCTTTTAAATTTCAATGAGTTTATTGATAGAAAAACTCCAAACAATCCATCATGTAAGTATGCATTAATTCAAAATGATTGCTTGAGTGTGGTTCTATTGGTCTATAGTATATCATAGGATATGATAGTCATATTACTTTATGTTGTGCTGGTTGTTTATTTACTTTATAACTTTCTAATAGTAAAATGTAACAATTTGATCCTTAATTTTGCAAACTAAAGAAATGTTATTTCATTATTTAGTTACATCAAATTTTCAAAACAAGGTAATAGTTTCTTTCAAATGGTTAAATGTAAATATGGCACGCTCATGTTAGCTCCTCTCAAATTTAGGAAATTTAATTTTGAATGATCTTTTGAAGATTTTTTATAGCATTTTGCCTGCTATATAGAGAAAAACATACATTTTTATAAGTTTATTTATATCCTTCAAATAATATAATGAGTTTTAATATGGGTAGAATAAAAACCAAAGTATAAATAAAGATATATCACTTAATGGTTTTCTTCCTTCCCGACATTCTATTTTTATCACAAGTTAACTTTATGTCTTAAAAAATTATGCTTCTTCAATTTTTCATTTATGCAGTAAATCAAGTTAAAATAGACAACAGAAAGTTAGTAATTATTTTTTAACCATTATATTTGTCTTTCAGGTAAATTTGCATCATTCATACTCTAAGCTTAATAGAAAATTATGGATACTTGGCTTTTAAATCATTAGAAAATCTAAATCTTTTTTTTTTTTTGAGACAGAGTCTCGCTCTGTCACCCAGGCTGGAGTGCAGTGGC